CCACTTCTCCTGCCGTCTGCTGATCCCCCCCCCCGGCCGGCGCAGGTTCGCTTTGCCCCCACCCGGTGGCAGCCACAGGAGGGCGGGGGCCGGAGCACCAACGCACCTCTCCCGGCCCGCCTTCCGCCGCAGCCACCTGCCCAAGCCCAGATCTGACCCTCACCGCGGAGGGCGGCCGGCGGACGGACGAGAAGCGGCCAAGGCCGGACCGCGCAGCCCCCCCCCCCCGCGGCCTGGAGGGCTGGCGCGCGCCCCGCACAAACTGGGCGAATGCCCGGACCGAAAGAGCCCAGCCGGCGCACACAGCGAGGGGGATTCCCACGATGTGCCCCAGTGTACCAGCACGTCTCCAGGACTTTGACGCTGGCGCCGACGCCGCCGGGCAAGGCGCCGGGACGTGTGCGCCCGCGCAGCATGCCGGCCCCACTGCCCTTGCGGGAAAGGTCCGCCCCCCCCCCCCCCCCCGTCTGCCCCCCGAAGCGAAGAAGGGACGCACCCCCGGCGAGCGTGCTCGTCGATGGCTGCATGAAAGTGCGCTCCCCGGGGATGATCACCCGGAGGGCCGGCAGTCACGCGCCGCCCGCGCCCAGCCGACTGCCAACGCCACGGCCTCCGGCCGATCGTCGGTAGCCGAGCCGCGGGCGGGGGCGGGGCTCAATGCTGGCGCGATCGTGGGCGCGCGCGTGTGTGTGGGCCGTTTTTCGGTCGCTACCCGGTGGCCCAGATCGCCACCTCGCCCCATCTGCCTCCCCCCCCCCCGAACCTCCTCCCTCGCCTCCTTTCTCTTTCCTTCTCGCCCCGCCCACCCCTCGCCGCGGGACAACATGAGCGCTTGGCGCCCGCACCCCAGCTCCGATGTCGACGCTTCGGCGTCCGGCTCGGTGGCCGCCTCCTTCGCCGACGCGGTCATCACCGATCACCAGAGCTTCCAAACCCGGTCATCGGTCACCCGGCTCATGAACGACCTCACACGTGCGCCTCACCACACTGCTCATGCCGACGGGGCCGGCGCCGCCCCGTAGCCTCCCCGCCCCCCCGCAGAGACACATGCACACATGCACACACACACACACACACACTGACACCGACCCAGAGCAATTTGGCCTGACCACCTCCTTCGAGGAGAACACCGACATCCTGATGTCCTCACTGAACCGACTCCGATCGCTGATGCAGCAAGAATCGGCCGAGACCGGCAGCATCAACCCCGAGCAGCTGACCTCCCTGTACCAGATCTGCGAGGCCCTGAAGGACATGTCCTCCCTCAGTTTGCAGCAGTCGAGCCAGGTGTCCCAGCGCGAGGACGTCTTCCGGGATGGGACCCTGGAGGCCGAGCTCGGCCGGCTCTTCGGCCGGCCGGTCCCCGGCCATGAGACCCCTGCTCCGGGGCTCTTCTCCTTCGAGGCCCTCTTCGACGCCACCTCGCACTTCGACCTGGCGGCTCCGCGCCTGGCCTTCCAGTGCGTTCCCGGCTCGGCCTTGCCCCCCCCCCCCCCCTCCCATGGCCTGGCCATCTGGCGCCATCTCGCCCGCCGCCCGTTCCCTACGCCATCTCATCCATCCTCCGCCCCCCCCCCCCCCCCGCCCCGTTTCCACCTCTCGTCTGGCCCAGTCTTCCGCTCATGGGCACGGCGCCCCCCCCGCGACGGCGCCCCCGGCAGCAGGCGCTTGCCCCCACCGCGCCGGCCGTCCTGCAGGTGGTCCAGTCCACCAGTGACGCGGCCGGCTCGGCTGCCGGCCCGGGGGACAACTTCACCGTGGTGCACATTTCCAACCTCTATGCGGTGGTGGCCGGCCGGCCACCGGGGCAGGCCATTCCCCTCTTCCGCTTGATAGTCAATCCCACCGACTTCGCCGAGACCATCGAAAACATGTTCTACCTGTCCTTCCTGGCCAAGAACGCCTTTGTCCGGGTCTTCCTCCACCCCGAGGACCGCTTGCCGCTGGTCGAGCGGGCACCCACCCCGCTGGAGAGCGCCACCGCCGGCGGCCTGGCCGCCGCCAGCAGCCCCGACCCCGACCTCAAACCCGACCTCCGGGCTGTTGAGCCCAACCAATTCATCTTCCAGCTCAGCCACAATGATTTCGAGGTACGCGCACCGGCGGTCGCCAACTTGCCGCTTTTCGTGCCCCACCGCTGCCCCTGCATCGTGGCTGCCCGCGGGCCTGTCCCCCGCGCCCCTGTCTGACACTTTCCCCCCCTTCTTCAGATCCTCAGCAAGCTGTATGCCGGGTCGCCGCCGATGGTGGTCCGACAAAACACCTTTGTCAACAGCGTGGCCTCGGACTTCGGCATGCGAAACATCTTCAATGAATACAACTGAAAGCCCACTGCCTTGCCCCCCGGCCTGTCCCTCCCCCCCTTGCTGTCGCATCTCTCCCGCGCTCCTCGCACCACGTTGCCACCCCGTGTGTGCGTGTGCGTGCACACGCGCACGCGCACGCGCGCACGCACGCATACATACACACCTGGCCGCCTGCGGCGCCGGTGTTCGCCCTCCCCCCCTCCCCTGGTGGCAATGCAAGGAGCAGAAAGACATGGTATTCTATTGGTGCAAATGATACATCCTGCGGCGGGCGCGCCCAGCCGGCTGGACGCACATGTGCCCGTGCCCCCGAGCGAGGCACGCAGCACACGCGCCCACCGTCTGGGCCTGCCCCAGCACACAGAGGAAGTGCCCCGGTAGGGCACAAACACACACACACATGGGGGATCGCTCTCCAGCCCCGGCGCCCCCCTCTACCCATCGCGGGCAGCGGCCGAGGCGTTCCCCGATCACCTCCACCCGCCGGCTTTCTCCCTCTCGCAGAGAGGCGCGCGCGCGACGTGCACAGGCGCACATACACCCACATGCAGGTGCACATGCGCGCGCGCATGTGCAGCCGACGAGAATGGCTCTTCCTTCGTCCAAGATGATCTTCCCCGGGGGAGGGCGCGCGCATGTCGCACACACGTACGCATGCATACACACGGTCACACCGGGCCGCCTGGCGGCCCGCCCCTGGGAAGTCATGCCACGCGCACATCCGAGCAGGCGCTCACAGGAGAGGTACGGGGGGAGAGGGGGGCGGGGGAAGGGGACGCGAGGGCGCCGGCTGACGCTGCACACGCCTCCCCGCCTCCCATATCCGCCTTCCCAGCCTTGCACCCATCCACATCGCACTTTACCCCTTCTCGCATGTGCGAGGACCGGCTGTCCCCCACCACCTGCGAGGCGGAGAGAAGGGTCCGGCGCTCCCGTGCGCGCGTCTCTCGCCCTTTGGAGCGCGGGCGACACACCGAGGGGATCGCATGGCCGAGAGAGTGAGGGCGAGGGTGGACATGCCTCAAGGCAGGGGGAAGGCCACCAGGAGCCGAGCGCCGGCGCGTCATGCTCCCGAAGCGGCGGCCGTGGGGGGCACACACACACACACATACACACAGGCGACCCACACCAAAGGGGCTGACCGCCACACCAAAGGGGCTGACCGCCACACCCCCTGTGCGCGCGCGAGCGCGTGCGCTCCACCTAGTTGTTGTTGCTGCTGCTGGTGTTGAAGAGCTTGCCCATGAGCCGGCCGACGCCGCGCTTCTTCGGGGTCCCGGGCCCGGCCGAGTCATTCAGGCGACCGAGTGACGGCGAGCCAGACACCGACGAGCGCGACACGCCATCGGCGCTGGCGTGGGCGGTCGACTCGGCGGTGGCGCCGCCTGCCTGCCCGGTCAGCATGGCCTCCTGCGCGGCGCGTGCCTGCGCCTCGTTGGCCATGGCCTGCTGCTCCATCTCTCGCTGGCGGCGCTGGCGGTCCTGCTCTTCGGCCAGCTCCTGGCGCTGGCGCTCGGCCTCCGCGGCGCGGAGCTGCTCCTCCAGCATGTGCCGCATGTCCTCGACCTTGAGCCGGAGCTCCTCGATGTGGGTGTCATTGCGGCGGAGCTCCTTCTCGAGCCGGCGCTTGCGCTGCGCACACACATCACCATGCACCATGTGTGTGTGTGTGTGTGTGTGTGTGTGTGTGTGTGTGCATACGAACGTGCGCGTTGGGCATTGCGCGCCATAGGCATCCGCAGAAAGGCCGTCATACGGGCGGTCAGTCGCATGGCCAGCGAAAAAAACGCCGCTCCCTCTTTCCTGTAGAGAAATGCATGCATGCCCCGAGACAACGCCACCAGCACACGCATGCACACAGACACGCCAAAGGCGCACCTTCTCCATGCGCCGAATGGAGTCGTTGAACTCCGCCTCCAGGCTCTCCTGGACCTTGGTGCTCATCTCCTCCAGACACTCCTTGGCCGCCTCGTCGAGGTTGGCATGCATACTGCGCGCGCGCGCCGCCGCCGCCGGGAAAAAAAGGCGACCGCAGCCCGTCACATGCATTTGCCGTCCCCGGCCACCGCCCACTCGAGAGGGTCAGAAAAAGGGCGAGTCCGCAAGAAAGAACAACAACAAAAAAAACACCCGCAACCTGTGGCACATTGCCCCGCTCGCCGCCCCCCCCCCCCCCCTTCGACCAGGGGCACGTACCCGGTGATGCCAAATTCGTTGAGAATGCGCGACCGACGCTCCTCCCACCAAACCGGCTTGCCCGTCGACTCGGAAACATTGGCGTGCAGCAGCAGCGGGATGGTGTGGGCCACCAGCAAGCGGCGGAGCCGGGGCAGGTCATTGGCCGACTCGTCCTCGACTGTACCCAAGCGTGCGTGCGTGCGTGCGTGCGTGCGTGCATGGCCCCAAGAGGCGGGTCAGGGGGGCGGGGGGGAGGAGTGCGAGGGAAACCGCGCACGGCCGGAGGTCAGCACAGCTCCTCAGCATCAGAGGCATTTCCCGGAAGCACAGGCGCATGGCACACATGCCCGCCCGCTCGCGTGCAGGGCACGCGGACCCACGCGCCGAAGCATCTTCACGCACCGAAGGCATAGCCCCAGGAGTAGGCGCGCGCGCGCTCCTCGCGACCCTCCGGGCCGTGGCGGTCATCGCTGGCAAAGACCGCCAGCGGCATCTTGGCCTGGAGAGAGGACCATGCGCCCGAAGGACATCCATTCGCAGGCACCCCACCATGGAGGCCACGCCCACGCCGCCACAAGGACGCACGAGCCCGTCGGCATCGAGTCAGTGTATGCCCCACACCTTGGCACAAAGCGACAGAGGCGTGCCCCGCCCCCCCCCCTCGTGCCACAAAACCCCCAGGGCACACGATGCCGCGGGCACACGCACGGCGATGTCCATGGCGTCCTGCCGGGCCAGCAGGTCCTCCTCGTGGTTGAGGGCGTTGGCCACATTATCCACATCCAGGCGCCACACATCCAAGCCCTTCTCCTCGAATTGCTTGTAGAACTGGCGCGGCATGCGCGTGCGTGTGCGCGGGGTATGGCACTGTCAGCTACAGGGCGCGCTCCCCCTCCCCGCCAGGGTGGGCGGCCGGGCACAGCATGAGACCCCGGCCCGGACCCGCCGCCACAGCCGCCAGGGCGCACCATCTCCCGGCAGCGGTCGCGCTCGTTGACCGTCAGGGTGTCGGATTTCGACAGCAGCGGCAAGACGTGGGTGTACTCCAGCAGGGCGCGGATGTGCTGCTCGTCTACGGGGCGCAGGCTGCGGCGTGCCGCGGGCGAGGCGCATGCACAGCACCGGACCCCGGCGCCATCCCCCCCCCGAGGCGGCGGTCGCCGCGACAGTGTGTGCGTGTGTGGGCGTGGGTGTACACGTCCGTCAGACAGGATTCTCAGCGAGGGGCCAGGGGTCGTGCGCGCACACGCCCGCGCGCTTGCCTCCCCCCGCCCTCCGGCATCCCACCGCAGGACAACGCGCACGCTGGCCGAGGCAACGGGTGCTGGCCTCGCACGGCGGCCAAAAAAAAAAGGACAAGCGCCCCCCCCTCCCCGCGTGGCCGCCACAGCCTAGAACGTCACACGCACCCGTTCGATGTGGCCGGCAGCATGTACAGACACAGGTCGATGATGACGTTGGACCCGGTGGTGTCCTCCATGTCCACCCGCTCAAAGCCATTCCGGCGGCTGGTGACGTCTTCCCACACTGCACGAATCATGCGGCGCTTGGACTCGGCCACGGCCAGGCTCTGGCGGACCACGGTCTCCGGCTCGGCGCCGCCGATGAACCCCGGGGTGTCGACGATGCGCAGCAGCAGCCGGTCGTCGCCCTCCGAGAAGAAGGCCGTGTGCGTGTAGACCTCCGTGTCGCCGGCATTGGCGCCGTTCTGGGTCTGCGAGGGGCGGTTGTGCAGCAGCGTGCGCGCCAGCGTCGACTTCCCGAGGCCGGACTCGCCTGACCGAGCCATATTCACACCGGCCCCAGGCGGTCCCCCATGTGTCAGTATATGCCATCGGAGGCCACCACCAAATCGCCGGCGCACACGCATGCATGTTGGCCGTGTCTACGCGCGCCGGTGCACCCGCGCACACAAGCACCCCCCCCCCCCCCCC